TCACGGATTCATGCCTTCGAGGAAGGTCCCGTTTGAACGCTCACATCGTGTTTTTTTCGTTTGGGGGAAAACTAAAACTGGTCGCAATTTTCGAATAAGAATGAGTCGGCAATTTTTAGTGGAGTCGAAAATTTGGAGGTAAATAAAACACCGAAACCCGGCAAATAAATAGGTGTCCGAATTTTTAGAGGGGTCGAAATTTTGGAGTTTTCACGGTACTAATTATTCCATTTCAATGAAACTTAGTACAAAGATGCTCTCGGACAATGTACAAACCTAATTAGTTTGGGGTAAAAATCTGTTCATATTAATTCCCTAATAAGCATAATAATTCATAATTTTTTGGTTCTAAAAACATTTCAATTAAACTTGGAGACATAGATTTTCTGTTACATTGCGCAGACCTCATTAGTTTTACACTCAAATCTGGTCATATTAATTTTCTGATTTGCATAATTAGTTTTCAGCTAAGTAATTTCGAATTATATTTAATGTGTCTCCAATACTCTCATCACATGGGAGTTCTTTCTAAGCTTTCTTTGATTCTGTCTGTATAACTGTCCAACCATTATCTCAAGAACCAATCATCACATTTCAATGAAACTTAGTACATTGATGCTCTTGGACAATGCAAAAAGTGATAAGTTTGTGTTAAAATTCATACCTATTATATTACCCATAGATATCTCAAAAACTCATCAGATTTCAATGAAACTTGACATGTTGGTGCTCCTTAGGTATTTGTAAAAATGATTAGTTTAGGATTGAAACTGTGCGTATTAATTACCTAATTTAAATAAATGAGAAAATTGTTAGTTGTTGCACACATCTCAAGTACCAGATATTAATAAAACTTAATCCACAAAAAAGATTAGTTGAGGGTTGAAAGACTGCATATTGATTACATAATTTGCATGAATTAGGCAATTTATGATATCCTAAAAAGTCTTGTTTAAATTATGTTTTGATAACTTTTAATGTTTAGATATATTATTGCGTTGTTGCAGGACTTTTATTCTCACTTTTGTGATGCAAAGAAAAGATATTTAATACTTACTTTTGTAAGCCCTCTCCCAGTGACCTTGGTAACCAGTGACAACGGGTCTCCCTAACGTCACAGTAGAGGCACTCGAAGCAGACAAATTTATAACACAGGTTCGGGTTATGGCATGGACAGCTTCACCGATATTTACCAGTGCAAGGGAGGTGTATGACCAAACACACATGAAATAGGTTCTCACAAAAAATGATTTAATAAATAACAACAAAAAATTGCACACTGGCTAACTATACACAACATCAATATAAGTTAGCCTAAAGCAGCAAAAGGTATACAACAGAACTATTAGTAAATTCAAAATAGAAATACTAAATGCCCAATTCAATTTCTCCTATCAGTAACAAGAATCCA